TCACACGTCTCTAGTCACTCCTCCAGTACCCTTATCTACCTGGAGGGCTGCAAATTCACCTTGGATACTGGTTTCGTCGTAGTCTTTCCTTCTCCCACATACAACCTCCCCCTTCCTCCTGAATCGAGTATCCATACAACATAACTATATGCTAACCTCTTCCCTTTACAACACATGTCCTCCATCTCTTCCTCATCCTTCACTATCTTCACTGACTCACCAGTCACTAAGATACGTGATCAATTGTTTTAACTGTCTACACGACAGAAATCAGTGAAGTTTTGCTGGATACCCAGCTATGTCGGTGAACAAGCAGGTGCCTTGGCATGGTCTGCCGCCTTGTCCACAACTCACCAACTACGCTTTTCACACATTCATACTACCCCCACTTCAAAACTTTCTGGTCAAGTTTGGCCACCAATAAAGTTTAAGCAAAAAAAACTTGGTCGGCATCATGCCACCAGAACAAACTCGGGAAAACTGAAACATGTACCCTCATTTTTCCTTATTTGTCCTCTCTACTGAATCCCCCTCCTTTTCAATTGACAACCTATTCTCCTTCCTGAAATCCATAAATACCCACTATTTGATTTAATCACCCTTTGTCCTTAACCCTTGCCCTTCTGTTAAACCCTATCCTACCCCATTTATTCCCCCCTCTTTCTACTACCATACTATCTTATAATGCCATATGACCATTGAAATCTAAGACAATTTGTTCTAATAAAGCACTTCTTTAAACACCTCCAACCACTATACTTTACCATAGTGCTATATGACTTCTGATGTCTACTTCACCAAACCCTTCTACTATCCACCTCCTAAGGTGTGAGAGCCGTGCTGAAAGGATGAAAGGCTGACTTTGTGCCAGTCCTGAACGGACTGAGGGAGCCATGGGCACGGTATTCCCCTGATTTAGTTACCTAGCCGTTACCCCTCAAGGGGACCCTGAGGGGTGGACTGTTTTTATCCCCAACATAATCCAGGCTTACCATGGCCAACAATGAAAACATATCCCCACTAATAGGGGATTTGAGGCTTGCCCCTTTATCAAATAGCCCCAACGATGCAAACTCGCCCGATTCCTTAACCCCAGGCTCTCCTTTGACCACGGCTCTGAACACTGCAACAACTACCCCCTCATCAATACCTACTAGTACAGTAGCCAACAACCAACCCCCAAGAGACATTTCCACTCTCCCAGCATGCTCAACTTCAACACCTCTACCCCCAAAACCTCCAACATCAACTACCCCATCCTTCTTTATTAATACCTTACAGCCTTATTGCCCAGCTCTCCATAACACTACCTCCCTCAACACTCCTCCATCTTCGTCACGCCTCCGCCCTTCTACTACCCCTATCTCTACAACAATCTTGAATACTCTATTTAGCGCAGCCAAATGGGACCGATTTTTCGTGATCCCTCCCACAGCTCCCTACTCTGACAACACCCTTCTCTTCCAGCAATGTCTCCAAAAACAAGTAGGTAAAGTCTCTTTCCGTAGCCGACCCGACCTCTCCCGTCTCGTCACAGTAACATCCGAAAACCAAGCTAGAACATTAACAAAACTGACCTACATGGTAACCCCATCCTTGCTGAACCCCATCCAACCCTCAATACTTGCACCGGAACAGTTTCAATCTCCCCAGCAAATTGCCAAATCTATGACAAAGATTGGTCAGATTGTGGAGAAGACCTACTCGCCTGTCTCACAGACTATGATGCAACATCAGTACAATGCTACTCCATTCCCCCCAGAGGTCATCGAAAGAAACCCACTAACATAGCCAAAATTACCTTCCGTAGACATGACCTTCCCTATAACGTTTACATAGGTGGAGAATCCTTCCCTGTCCGTCCATACCAACCTCCTCCACGTCAGTGCCAAAATTGTTGGCGTCTAGGACATCCAGCTAAACATTGCCGTTCCAGAGCCAGATGCCCACTATGTGCCCAACCTGGCCATACCCGATCAAACTGCTCTGCACAATCACGCACATGTGC